AAGCGATTATATGCACACCAACACCCTTCAAATTATCACAGGAAGATAACTCGGGTATCATTTTGAACGGGAATACTTGTTCTTTAAAATGGAACCACCGGAAGGTTCAAAATCTAGATGCAAAGCCGTCAAAATCGCTGTGGCGTTTTGTTGCATTTTTTACTAAAAATAACACATTATCACAAATATTAACTTTGAAGGCCTGTAGTGGTCGTAGTTTTGGTCTGACAACAAAAATAAGACCAGATTTGAAATCTGCAGAAAATTTCCTATCCGATAGAGAAAACGTTTGCCTGTTTAAACGATGTTTAAGAAAGAGGTTTTGAGCGCCTAAAAGGGTGTTTTAGCCCACTGTGCGCCGGCGGGACGTCGTGTTCGCGGCACGATGGAGGGGTCCCTCCGGCAGCTTCACGACAAATTTGAGGTGATTCTGTGAATTCGTTCCCGTCCGGGGCCCAAAAGACGTTAAATCGTGTCACTTTCAACCTCTAAGTTTGCACTCCTGATTCTCCGTAACCAGGAGGGCCACAACATCCGCTCAGGTGCGCCGAGGAGCGCACGACCTTCCTTGACAAGGGTGCAAACGCCGAAACCCCTGCGACCAACGAGTCAGCCGCCAGAGCGCTCAGAAAATGAGTCGCACTCAGCGTCCAGTCCTAGAGCGGCCGCTGCTCCGCCTGGGCGGTAGGCAGCCACTCGACTCTCTTTAACGGAAAGTGTCCAATTTTCATTGTTGTCGTTTCTGTTGTTATCACTGAGTGCCGGCGACGGCCCTGCCGGTGTTTCTGTTGCTCTGTCGGCAATTTCCGAGCCGTTTCTCTTTGGGTTACGCCGTTCTGTCCCGCAGCGTCGCGGACAGGTCGCGGACACGACTGATTTTCTGAGCGCTCTGGCGGCTGACTCGTTGGTCGCAAGGGTTTCGGCGTTTGCACCCTTGTCAAGGAAGGTCGTGCGCTCCTCGGCGTACCTGAGCGGATGTTGTGGCCCTCCTGGTTACGGAGGATCAGGGGTGCAAACTTAGGGGTTGAGACTGACATGATTTAATGTCTTTTGGGCCCTGGGCGGGAACGAATTGACCAAATACTCCAGGCATTTTAGACAAAAAAAACGCCGTTTGCCTAAAAAAATTTGCGGCCCGACGAGCTTTTTGGATTTGGTAGAGTTCGACATAGACTACAACATATCCAAATTTGAAGTTCCTGCAACGGTGGGTTTTCGAGCAAATCGCGTTTAAAGTGTTCAATATTGAACACTCCGCTTTGCGATCTTCTGCATGCCGTGGTTCGTGTCCAAATTGTCGTAGAAAGCTTCGGTTTTTTGCATTCGACGCAGAAAAGAATGACAAATCCGAAAATACTAGGGTTTGTATACTTGCATCATGTTTATCCGGTGAAAAGTACATGCGTTAGTTTTGATACAGTACTGCCGCAAAATCTGCAAGTTCTTAACAATTTTGTCATTTGTTGGACTTTTAGCCAACTTTGCAGCGTCATTGCTTCAAAACTATAGTAGTCAACCTCATTTGTCATCTACATATCGGCAGCATTGTACCATAGAATCAAGATTCTGCGGAGGGGTCACGACTTTAAACGTCCGGATGGACGCAGAGGCCGCTCAAAAACTGCCCATTTCAGAAGATTTTGTCGTCCGTTGGCTATTTCGACCATTTTGGGGAGGCACTGCTTCAAAATTAAATGTGCTGATTGCATTCGCTGTACAAGTCTTCATAACAAAGGACCCTTAGACAAACATGTTCCAGAGGAACTACCGTTAATCATCTTAGTTTGAACGCAGTGGCCAGTCAAAGTGGGACCATTTCACGAGTTGCACACGCATTTCGGTGGGTTGACGCCCTAGATGCTTCTAGTATGATTTACGGCTCACTGGGTCATTTTATCACTCTTAACGTTATATATTGATTTGTTTGTAAGAATTTTATCTACAACATTCAATCGGCACTTTTTAAAATCCCCCCACATAGAACGCCAAAAACTGGCACGGAACGGAGTTGAACACTTTCGGAACACTACTTTTAACGCTGTTCTGTCCAAAACCATACGAAAAACGCAAACAGAGAAAAAGATAAAAGTTAAAGAACAAAACGTTTTACTTCTTCTCGCGAAAACCGCATCTCTCTAGCTTCTATACTTTCAAAGTTATATCGGTTTGAGGAGGACAGATCGGCCGCCGGGCCACGCGTGGGGTGGCGCTGCTGGAGGCTCCGCCCAGCTGACTTCCGGAGGGCACAGCTTCCTTCCTATTAGGCGCAGCGGGATGCGCTGGGTGTCTTTTTAAAGACATTTAAATTTTCTACAACATTTGTAGGGAGCATTTTTATTAATTTCGCAATAGGTTTTAGTCCGCAGCCAAAACAAAGAAATTTGACCGAAATTTCAAAAGTCGTTTTTCTTGGTTTTTCTTACTTTTCTCCGGATAAACATGATCCAAGTATAAAAAACTTAACATTTTCGGATTTGTCATTCTTTTCTGCGTCGAATGCAAAAAACCAGAGCTTTCTACGGCAATTTGGACACGAACCACGGCATGCAGATGATCGCAAAGCGTAGTGTTCAAAATTGAACACTTTGAACGCGATTTGCTCGAAAACCCACCGTTGCAGGAACTTCAAATTTGGATATGTTGTAGTCCATGTCGAACTCTAGCAAATTCCAAAAGCTCGTCGGGCCGCAAATTTTTTTTAGGCAAAAATGCCATAATGACTGGAGTAAAATTACTTCGATTTTAGTGTGGAATTGCCGGAGGGACCCCTCCATCGTGCCGCGAACACGACGTCCCGCCGGCGGACCCCCATTGCCTTCAAAAGGGGTGGGGGGCGTAAGTGGTTTCCACCCCCTGCCAAAACCTTGTTTAGCAACGATGTGCAGTTTTTTCGTCTGGAATCGATTTAGGTGGTTAGAATCAATCGTGATTCTTGCTTTTGGGCCCAGTTGTCGACATTTTTGGTGGTTTTAGGGAAAAAACAAGATAAGGGGTGTCAGTCGTTAGGGGCTGGACACCCCCTGGAGAGTGCCACGGACACGGAAACACTTTTGTCGTGTCCGGGGTACACCGCCACCACGCTGACCACCTGGAAAAGGTCCTAAAGAATCATCCCTTGCGGGGGGTGGTTTTTTTTCTGGCTCAGGAACGGCGCGTCGTATAGGGGTAGCGCTGGTCTTAATCGAAAAAGGACGTCAAAACAAGTCGACTTTTAAAGTTTGAACCCTCTGTTACAACGGGAAGGCCATTTTAAACCTTACAAAAGTGTCAAAATTTGACACTGTTTCACGGGAGGGGTGGAAAAAGACGCAAAGGGGTGAGTTTCGTTCTTAAACTTTGGGGACGTTTACGCAACACTTTGGCCCACCTCTCCTCAAAACTTCAAGTTTCTAGCTTAATTTTAGCAAGAGTTATAAGCAAAGGAAAATGTGGGGCTTAAATTTTGACGGCCAGCACCCTTACCGTTTTGAACAATTCGGACGGCCTGGAAGCGTCGTTCGACCGCCCCAGGTCCCGCGGGCACGGGTTTCAAGAAGCATTTTTTCGATCACAAGTGGTCGCGACGTTCTAAAACGAAAAGTAACCCCAGTACACCGTCAGTTGTGAATGCAGCATAGGTCAAATGGTCACACGGTGGACATTTTCCCAAAGGTTGTTTCAGGTTCAACAAGTGATGATACAAAGATCACCTTCCGTAATTTTGCGAAGAATAAGTCAGGGAAGAGTGTGAAATAGCCAGTGTTCTTTTGATGTGGCTTAGTCATATACTACAGCAGAGCAATGTTGTCTATAGGTGTTGGTGACCATGACGAAACTTACAAAACGACACCTAAGCAGCTTACAAAACCTAGAAAAACAAGAGTTAAATTGACTTATCTACATGAGAATTTAAATTGCCCAAGCTTCTAAATCAACCTTAGTTCAGGCGCACGGCCCCGGTGACCTGAAATGACCCCCTACGCACGGAAAAAACCCAGACGTCCTCTTTCCTTGCAGAAATTTCCCGTCAGAACCGGTGACCCAAACTTAATCTGAGCGGCTGTTCAGCCAGTTAAGGCCAGTTATAAAACTTTTGCGATCGTTTCTGAACGGAGAGCATACAAAACAGCACATTTTTGTGTCTGCAAACGAATAGAGTTCATCTCAAAACCTTGGAGATTCTAGCCTGACTTTTAAGCCATAAAACTGCATTGTTTGTTGCCCGTCCCGTTAATTTAAAAAAAAAAAAAATTACAGGGAAACGGCCATATAGTTTGATCCCTGCTGTTCGTGCGTCTGTCCGTCCGTCCGTCCGAGGACTTTCCGTGGTCCGATATTGGCCAAATTTGGTATGCAGCCACCTTGGGTGACCTTTAGAACCGCCCGGTGGCAGCAAATCCGATCCGAGCCCCGGGGGCGCTGCTGCAGGTGCATCATGGTCCACATGGGGTCGAGGAGGATTTCGGCAACGGATACAGCTAAGAGGGCATGTAGGGGTATTTTTGAAATCAGGGCGACAAGACAAAACCAACGGTGCTTATTTCAAGCGAATCGGAGAAATTTGGACCTGGGTTCAAATCCCAGCGGGGTTTATTTTAAACATTCTTTTTATTCGAGTTGTTGCATTATTTCTGATGTTTTTGAGGGTGCTGATGACGAAAATTTCATTTTTTTCCCCCAGACGCAGGTTCAAATCCCGTAAGGGTTTAACATAGGCGAAATTCACACATTTCTCGATGTACGGGACAGGCCAATGTTGCCGATGTGTATCGCTACTTTTCCTGTTATTAAAACGTTTATTCTTGTACTTTTAACTCTATCCGAAAAAAATTCCCTGTTATTTGAAAACAGCAGGCTCCTTTTAAAAAACTGGTTATTCCGAACCGGTTAATTTCATTAACCGATAATCGGTTTAAAATCAAGTAACCGCCTGGTCCTTCACCCTTCCGCTTCACAGCCCAAATGTTGTTGGCCGGTTAACGAAAACATATTATTTTAAGTTCCGACTCACCCTTACGTTGCTGTGATTCATTTTACAGAAATGTGCCAGGGCACGGAAATCCTACCCACGGTCTGTTCGGGATCTCCCCTGACGACCCGGTTGGTACCAAACAAACAGTGAAAATTGCCGCTGGAAGCTATTCCAAAGGGGCACTGGCCTTTCTCCTGTTGGATCATGATGTTGCAATGCCCTCTGCACGTGTTTCAACTGAAAAAACCATGTTGAAGCTGAGAGAATTGACGACAACCACAAGCACTACGACGCGCCGGCCAAGCCCCACCACAACGCAGAAGCCGCCCACGACTTCCTCCACCACCAAACCAACACAGCGGCCAACCACTACCACAACGCAGAAGCCGCCTACGACTTCCTCCACCACCAAACCAACACAGCGGCCAACCACTACAACAACGCAGCAGCCGAACACAACACCTATCATTGGTAAGGAATTCTACCCATAGGACAATGAAGCCCACCCGCCATGTCTTACTTAAAACTTTGGCAAGGTGCTCCGCTGCAAAATGTTTTCTTAAATCTCAGACATAAAGAAGGTTTTGAAATAAAATAACATTTTGAAACGGGATAAAATTTCCGTAAACTTTACGAAAAGTGCGATATTTTTAACATTCTCCAATTTAGAAATAAAAAGTAATTGGCTGAGCGAAAGCGAAGCCTGTTACTTCAGTGAGGTTAAAAAACTTTTTTCGCTTGTGTGTGATAAAAAGGTAGCCGAGTTTAATTCTAAAAGTAATCCCATTTAATAAAGGACGGGGCGTTCCACGTCAAACCATCATGGTCCAAAACGCACTTGCTCAGATCCGGCTCCCAATTTTTTCTGTCATAGCCTACCACTTTAGAGGAAATCGTTCACCTCTCAAACAGCGGCATTTCCACCGACCTCTTTCTAACGCCGTCCTGGCCACACTGTTTGAGATATCGATATGAAACTTAACAGACGGGCTCAGAAGGGATCAATCTCAAGGGCGGTGCGCTTAAAAAAAATTTTTGAACGCCTAAGTTAGGCCCTAGGGCGGTCCAGTTCTGATCGAACTTTCGTTCACAACACGTCGTGGGAAAATGGAAATATCTAAAAAAGGGCCACGTTAGGTTGTAGCTGCATATTTGCTCTATCCAGAGAACTTGTCCGAATCTGCGTGCGGTCAAAATTAGAGGTCAAAACCTGGTAGGCAGCGGACCTCTGCACGGTGGTTTTGGACATGTCGCAAAGTTTTGAAAAGGCTCTGCCGCAGACGAGCTCTACTAACCCCGCCTTCCTCCGCCCACCCCTCCGGGCGGCCCGCCACACAGTGGGCTGAGAAGCGAAAAAAGCAATAAAAATTCTTGGGGGGATGAATCGACGTCAAAATCGCTACTCGGATGTTTTTTTGGTCCGCGAAAGTCAAACCTAACAAAATCGAAACCCGAAAACGACCGGCAGGGGCGGATCTAGCAAAAGCGGGAAAGGGGTAGGGGAGTCATTCTTAAAATGCGTCGCTGAGGGTTCTGGGTCCCCGAAAATCATATCTTACGAAATCGAAACCAGAAAACGACCGGCGATAGAAGCTACCCGCCCGGCCGGCCCGGGCGGAAGACGCAATTTGTCATCTTTGACTGCGATTTTCTCAAAACGTGGAACAGAGCGGGACAAACGGTGAAATGGACCGTAAAGAAGAGATGCTGCTCTTTCACCCCCATCTGACGGATCGGTTCGCAAACTGTCGCAATTTAACTTATCGCCTCGCAAAAATCACAAATTCGCCGATTTTGCAACATCTTTGACGGCGTGTTTCTTCCACCTTGTTAATTCAATAATTAACCTTTGATTTTGTTCAGATTTGTGAGCTCTTCAGCTTTCCAAAAACATACAACATGATAATGTTTTGTGGAATAAGCCGACTCGCAGGGCTGGACGCGCAAGTCCTGGCTGAAGGGCCCACAAGCCTTGCGAGGCAGCCAATTTCCAGCATGTTCTCCCTGGACATACTCATTTCAGTGCTGCATGTCGGAATGAGTACGCTAGCACGCCGCTGCAAACCCGTACCCTTACAGCACACACCATGAGTGCGAGAGAGAGCGACGAGTAAGGAAAACGGGATCGGTCAGTGCAACCTTTGCAGTGTGTCGCCGCACGGCATTGCCTACCCTGCGCTGTATACAGGCACGTAGCGCGTGCGGGGTAGGAACATAGAAGTCACTTGAAGAAAATAATAAAATAAAATAACATAAATGTAATTTCTTACTTTCTTGCTTCAAATATTTTGCATTCGGACGTATTGTGCGTAAAACGACAAAATTGAATTCAATTTCTTTTAATATATTTAAAGCATTTTAATCATAAAATAAATTTAAAAAAAAAAAAAAAGACAGGGTGTTTTCGGAGGTGGTGTTCTAGCTCTTACTCATTTTCATCATTTCCTTGTTTTTTTTATTCAAAAAAGACAAAGGGTGTTCCCGGAGGGGGTGATCTAGTGTGTTCCCGGTCAAACAACTCTAACACTTCTTAATTTTTATTTTAAATACAAAAAATTCAAAAATAGGGGGGGGGGCACTTCCGACAGGATGAACTCCAGACATTTCGCATTTGAACAAGTTTAAAATCGATTCAAGCCCATTTGAAAACTTAAGCAATGTAACTCTTCGGGTTTTTTATTGTTATCATTGCTAATTTTTGCCCGATGGGTGAAAAATATGTCGAACTATTTATTTTTGCTGAGCGAAGCGAAGCACCCTGTTTGGGATTTTGAATAGCTCATTTGTCCGACACCCCCCCCCCCTCCCGATACCTTTAGTTTACAAAAAGGAATCTTCCTCTGTTTATTTTTACTATATTCACGCATATGCAAGTTCTACATATCAGAAAAGTTAGCCCGTCCATAGTTATAAAGAATGCCGTCAAGAGAATCGAAATCGTACAAACGCTAGGGGTCCCACATCGGCCGTTTTTGCTCAGCTTAGGCAACCCGCCACGCACCGACCCATTTTTAGCAGATGATACCTTTACGACTAACACGACTTTAAAATAACGTACAATACAAGACATTTAAAGGTGTCAGCTAGCTTTTACTCTCGAGTCCAGAAACCAAGGCTGTATCCTAACAATAAATAATAGGGGCTGGCTGCCCGGGCGGGATAGTGAGTGAGTGGTCCGCAGCCTATGCGCGACGCATCGACAAGTCCTCCCCCGGGTACAGCGCCAGCGGCACCGGGCGCAAACAATGGCACCCCCTCCTCGCGCGACAATCCCTCCCCGCCTGCCACGGCGCGGAATATGGCGCAACAATGCCTCCCGATTCGGCCCGGCCAAAGTACCAAAGTATCAACACCGGCCAGCTCGCTCGGGTCTATGTATTTTGTTTCATACACAATTTTAATTGCTATCTTTGGAATGAGCCCGCATACTACCCCGTATAAGAAAACAAAACGAGTATCATCTGCTTTCATTAACGTTCGTTGAATGAGATTTTTTTTTAAATTCTAGCTATTTGGCCAGGTAAGGGCTTTCCTCTCGCGCGGATCAAGTCTGGCGGTGTCTGCAATGTCTGCCCTGGACGGTGGGAAGCCACAACGACACCAGGCGAGTCGCAGGAACCGGGAAAACAGGTAAAACATGGCGGAATTGCCATTTTGGGGGAGAATGCACGCGCTTAGCGCACTGCACGTGCGTACATGCGCTGCGGATTGCCACTACCCCTTCCCCCGCGCCAAACACACCCCCGCACCCACCCCGCGTGACCCAACCCAGCCCCCTGACCCAGACCCACCCCCTTAAATACATTTTGGACTCGTTTTCAGACTGATTTAGAGACATTTTGCAGCTCTTAGCTGACCCCGCACTGAACACGCAAGTGTGAAGTGCGAGGTGGGGGCTGTCAGCATTTGCGACTTTTCGATTTCGACAGCGGAAAAGCACTCAAAAGTTGCGTTTTTCAATGCTGATTTCAGATCCGTCCTCGTTTTTGCGATCATACAAAGCCTTCATGACCTTACTGGCCGTTTTAAGCAAAAAAGCGGTGCTTTTCATGTTTTTACAGTGTTTAGGCTCTCAGATAGCCTCCACGTCGTCGGCCAAGGAGGGTGACCATTCAGTTGTCTTCAGTAGCATAAAAGACAACATTCTGAGCCACGAGAGGTCGTGGGTCACCCCTTTTTTTGTGCCCAAGATCTAAAAGGCAGAATTTTTAAGTCAAAAATCACTCAATTTTTTACATTTTTTCACCCTTTATCGACTTATCGACTTATACGAGAGCCCAAGGGCCCGAAGTCATAACTTAAACAGGCCAAAAGGTGTCATTGGGTATGAGAAAGGTCGCCTATCCCCTGCTCGGGGTCAGGGAGGCGCTGGGGGAGCGAGAGGGGCGGTGTTCAAAATGACTGAAATCAGCTGATCGGCCGTCTGGGACGTGCGGACGTGCTGTGTACACTCTTAAAAATTGTTGTTTTAAAACAACAACACAATTACCAACCTCGACAACGCTGTTCGATACCTCCAAACCATAACCGCTCAAATGCGATTCCCCCCACTTCGTCCCTAACCTCACCTGCTCAGGTAAAGGATGGGGTGGGGGAAACTGCATTTGAGAAGTTATGGTTTGGAGGTACCGTGTTGTTTGTTAACAAGTTTGCTTGTTTTAAAACGGCGAATTCGTTGCTTATAATTTTAATGACTTATGCTGTTTCAAAACAATATTTTGCTGCGTACAAACAACCCGGACAATGTAAGAAGTCGTTACTGCGGGGTAACCGGGACTCTACTAGGTCTGAGACCTAATCGGCAATAAAAATTGATGCAAATAAGGCTGTCTACCGGTTTACAAACATCTTGTGGACGGACGACGCAACTCGTAAGTAAACAACGAAAGTCATTTGAAAACAACTTTGATCATTAAGAAAATTAGCAACATATTTACTGCTAAATTACAACATAATTTTTAACAGTGTAGGGACCCCGTTCGTCAGAGATGCGCACGTTCGAGTGCTGGAGTAAACCGATTGATTTTCACCCCGTAAGAGACTCGCACTGTAAGGCTCCCGCACTGAGAGAAATAATGAAGATTGTGGCTGTTAAACCTAATGCCACTCTTCACTGTTTTCCGAAAGAAGGTGTTTGGGGCATTCCACGTCAAACCATCATGGTCCAAAACGCACTTGCTCAGATCCGGCTCCCAATTTTTTCTGTCATAGCCTACCACTCAAGGACCACTCATATTAATTTTTTTGAAAAAATATTCAGAACTTTGGCCGTGGCGCATTTTTGAAATTTTAAAAAAATTTCAAAACTCTTTTTTTAGTTTTTTTAAATTGTGTGTTTAGGCGCTCAAATGGGTTGAAAACAGTAAATGGTAACATTATAAAGTGAGAAACAAGGTTGGGACCCTCAGTCTTCGCCTAAAAGGGCGTTTTTGACTAAAAATCACGGTTTTTTGAATTCCCAAAATACGCCA